CTTTGAGGAAGATTCTCTCTGTGTTCTCACATGGTCTTTCCTCTACAAACGCATCCTTGGTTGGCTGGTCCTCCGCCCCCTCCATAATATACTCTGTAGTATGACATTGTCTTCATTATATTTCTCGGCTGTAGCTCCAGCATTCAGGAGATCACCTTTTTATTAAGCTGTTATTCCATCCTGTTTCTCCATATTCGTGGTTGTTTGTTTAAAAAGGCTTAATTTGTACATTGCTTGGAAATTTTGTTTTCGTATCACTTAAGCACTCAAAGGTGTAGTTTACATATATATGACTTCTGAAAATAAAATGACACTTTTCACACACTCTTTTTGTTTTGTAAATATATACCAGACACATGAATGTGATCAAAACAATCTTTGTTGGTGAAATTTCCTATGCACATTAAGTTGGAAATAAAGTTGACAGCTCAGTGACTTCCAATGCGAAAATGACTGGGCGCCACCTAGTGTTGGGATTTTGCAACTACCAACCTGACCCTTTAAAATTGCTGTTAAAACCTAGCTGCTAAAAACCGGGGTGCTGTGGTGGTGAGAGAATTACGGGAACTACACCTGAGGGGAGAAATCAAATATTGTACAAAATGAGCAATGATGTAAGAAAATAAAAAATAAACCAAAACCCCTACATTTTTGAAATGCTTTTTTCTTGATATATTTGTAGTGACAAATAAGATCACGAATAGAATGCATGTGATCTCAAAATTGTCATAAAAATAGTCACAGGCAGGCCTCCCTGGTGGCCGAAGGGCTAAGTCTTAGTGCTGTCACCACTGTGGCTTGAGTTCAATCCCCAGCCAGGGAGCTGACCCACATGGCGCAGCAGACCTTGCCTGTCTCGCCCGCTGCTCTCCTCAGCAGTGTATTTCAGTAGATCCTCCTGTTCTGCTCCCCATTCTGTCTCTGGTAAATCCTCTCACCTCCCACCCCTCCCCCACATCTCCTACATACACTCCAGTTTTTCTATGCAAAAATAAAAAAAAAAAAACAGTCACAGGTTACTTAGATATGAGAAACAGATGCTTGACTTCAAATGCAGATTTCTGGGCCTCCCTGGTGGCGCAAGGGGTTAAGCACAGCACTATGAAGCTATCCGCAGCCTCTGCAGCAAGAGTTCGATCCCCGGGGAAGCCAGGGAGCAACCCACATGGCGTAGCAGACCTCTCCTGTCTCGCCCGCTGCTCCCCTCAGCAGTGTATTTCAGAAGATCCTCCTGTTCTACTCCCCATTCTGTCTCTGGTGAATCCTCTCACCCCCCCACCCCGTACCTCTGGCCTGTACCCCAGTTCTTGTATGCATAAATAAATACATCTTTAAAAAAAAACACAAATGCAGATTTCTTCCTTACTTAAATCGTATCAAAGGAACAGCTAGATAACTGGAAGAGATCAGAAGTCGCTGTATAGTCAGTGGGCTACCTGATCCAGACAAGATTATAGACCAGAGTAGGTGAGGGGCAAGTGGCATATTCAAAGTACTCGCTGCCCCACTGGGCGAGGTCCAGCAGGATGGGCGGCTATGCACTTTGATGCTGCCTTTTATAAAAGAGCAGAGCTGGTCTTTTACCCAGACATTCCCCTACATCCAAAGATCAAACTGGGTTTCACATTTCACTTAAGAGAATTCAGTATTGCCACATTTTAATAAACACAAATACTTTCAAAACAAATCAATCTGTTTTTTATCTATATTCGAAAATATTAATCTTGAACAGGTCACACACGAAATCCAAATGACTGAGCAATCCTTGGAAAAGGAGTATAAAATGCTGGCTTTGGTTCAGATGTCTTTGATGTTGTCATTCTCTCCGGAGCCATCAGCTGGGTTGCACCCTGATCTCCAGGACCAGCTCTGGCTCTTTCGTTTCTTTTCTCGTTACCCGGGAGCCCGCCATATGGCCTCAGACTTCTATCTTCATCTGCATGGTATATTAAAATTCCCACTTTATTCTCCTGTACCTTATGTTTGGGGTATTTATCCACACATTTTTCTCAATTCCTCTTGGATGGGACTTAACCGTCTAAACACGTCACATCTGGTCATCAGTTTCCCAACAATGTGATGACTTGAGCATTCTTGTACATCTTCTTCTAACATGAGCTCTCTCTTAGATTCATTCTCTCTCGTACCTCTGCATCTAGTGTTACCTCCTTTTCCTTTATACCTGGACTTAGTGGGGACGGCCACTGTGAATTGTCCTGACTTCCATCCAGGTGATGGGGCTGTGATCCATCCCCGGGGCCATAGGAGGCTTGGAAGCCTACTGGCCTGCAAGGGAGGGTCTCCAGACAGCTCTCCAGGTGCTGGTGTGTCTCTTATAAGGACACTGGTCATAGGTGACTGGAGTCTCACCCTTGGGTCCGCATTCACATCATTGCCTCCGGATGCAGTCACGGGAGTCAGGATCTCAGTAGGGATGGGGGTTGGGGGTGAACAATTCAGTCTAGAGCAGAGGAAGATTAATTTTACCAATGCTATTTCTGCATTATTAGAATAATAAAAAAAACTGTCATTTTTTTAGCTTGGTATTTAACTTTTTTACTAGACTTGTTATAGGCTTCATTTTTAAAATGTATAGTATATGTTTGTGAAGATGTACATATATGCTAAAATTAAAATGATGATTAAGGGGACTTTTAATATCAGGTCAAGAGAGTGGGTGGAGAGTTGAAGCAGCAGGCAGGCTGGGGCCTGGGGAGCCAAGCCCTGCCCTGCCCTGGTGGGAGGCACCATGGGGAGGGGTGTTGGCTATTATTTGGGCAGGTGCCAGGCACAGGCCTAAAGGGACAAGACCCCATGCCTTATAAGCCCACGTGCTGGGCCAGTTGCTCAAGACGCTATTTAAAACCCCAGCAGATATGCGGGGACACGGAGGGAGCTGGCCCGTCACATAAGCCAGCTGTCCCTCTTAAGAGCCCTGATAAAGCGCATGCCGGCGCCCTGGCCTGAAGGCAGGAGGGGCGTGGGGTTGGGCTAAAGCCCCTCTGAGACCCTCCAGAAGCCTCAGGAGCGGGGGTCAGGGCTGGAGGGGCAGCTCATGTGAGCCCCAGGGCAGATGAGGCTCAGGCTGCCGGCTGCAGGGTCTGTGGCCTCAGTGAGACATCTTAGGGTGGGTCTCCTCCATGACCCCAGTCATGGGACAGACAAGGCTCCTCCCAGGGGGGACCGACCTGGACCACAAGCCAGACACAAGGAGGAACCACAGTGAGAAGCAGGGCTCTCCTCACACAGCTGGGTGTGTGGGGGCAGTGAGGGTGTGCAAGCTCATTCCTCTGGGCTTTCAAACATAGGTCAGCCCAGATGTGTTAAGGTGACCGCACTGCCAGCTCCAGAAGGTCAGGGCCCAGGGCCTTTGTGAAGTGCTAGGGACACATTAGGGCTCAGCACAAGATGTCAAAGGGGGTGTGGGTGAAAGGGGCAGAAAAGCAAGTCTGGTAGCAGCTGAGCTTGCTCATCTCCATCTCTCCAAACCTTCACTCTCCATACCCTGACTCTGAGGAAGGAAGGCCTGGCTTTTGACCTGGGCCTGTCCTATGTGCCCCTGAAGCCCAAACCCCTTCAGCAATCCGCCATCTTCTCAGCATCTCCATGAGCACAGAAAGTCTGTCCCTCCATCCTCTGCCTCCCTCCTCCAGCCTCCCTGATCCTCACACTCTACTCTCAGCCCTGCTGTCCTGGGAACAGCCCACTGCTGCCCACCTGACGGCCTTGACAGTGTTCTGCCCAGCAGCGTGGCCAGCTGCTCCTCAGTGCTCTGCTCTCTGGCTCCAGCACCATCACTCAGCTGAAACTGTCGCCTCCATGGTCCCAGGGGCTCTGAGCCTGAGGACGGATCCTACCTGTGGACTAGTCTCCCAGCGGGTGGCCGTCATGCCCCCAACACATGGAGGCAGGGCAAGCAGGAGCCATGTGCCTGCCAGGCAGCACCCCAGAAGAGACACAGGAAGCAGAGGCGACTCAGGGCAGGTGAGCCAGGAACCCCGCCTTCTGGAGCTATGCAGGAAAAGTCTCCTCCTCCGCTTTCCCTTGCTGTGTGTCGGGTCCTGCAATCCTCTGGGACTGTTGCTCCCTCATCTGAGATCCTGTCACTGGGAGGACAGGAGCCCCAGAGGAAACCCCCTAGATCCTGAGCATTCCTGGGAGAGTGGGCAGGGACCTGCTCCATGCCCAGAGGCTGCTCAGACACCTCCTCCAGGAGGCTTTCCTGGCCTCCTGCCCTCCTTTGTCCTCCTGCCTGTCATCTGTGTGTGACTGGTCTCCCTGTTTGTTGGCTGTGTCCCCAGCAGGAATGGGGTCGGGCCCTCATGTGTAGGGTACATGGACACATGGGAGAAGGATGCCAGATCAGGTCCCCAGATGCTCTGCCCAGCAGCTACCCTCAATGGGGGCCCCTGCAAGGTGTATGGGAATGAAGGGCTCACTGCAGAGGCACTGGATACCTGTATACCCTAGTGACCTCAGACCAAGCCAGTCCCTCGGTCTGCTCTCGGGCCTCCACCCTGGAAGGAGGCTGCAGGGAACTTCACTGAAGAACGCCTTCGTGAGCACAGCTGGCCTGCTGGACCAACTCACATGTTAGGGGACTTCCCAAAGTTCAGAACAGGAATATTCAAATGCTTCAGGTCCCTCAGTTGAACTCCAAGTTCCACAGAGCCAAGTTCAGGCCCCCCAAGGCTCTGAGCATGGCCCAGCCCACTCCCAGTCCAAGTTCCTCAAACTCTCCTGCTGAGGCACTTGCGTGGTGTGGGGCTTGGGGTACTCAGGGCAGGGTTCCTTGTCCCTACCCCCAGCTCAGAACAGGTGTTGGGGGCAGTCAAAGGAGACCCCGCTGCAGTCAGGCCTGCAGGGTCCCTGGGAGTTGTGAGGCCCTGCAGGTCCATGGGATCCATGAGTCTGATCCCAGGGGGAGGAGGGGCTGCTGGGAAAATGACTGACACCCCCAAAAACAAAAACAATCTCCACACACTGCAGATGATCCCTGATATAAAGCAGACTCCAGGAGGAGTCTATTTTTTAATGTATAATTAGTCACTTATTCCTCAAGTGAATGAGTTTAACCGCATCTTTTCCTGAGATTGGTTTTTCAGAAGAGGTGAGAGAGGTACAGAAAGGCACAAGTCTCTCAGCCAAGGAAGTGAGGGCAACCAAGCAGGGGTGGGGCCCATGTGGGATCCAGGGCAGCTCCCTCAGTCTGGCCGAGTGGCCTCCGCAGGTTGGAGCAGCCCAGGGACCTGGGCGGAGGCCGCAGGGAGGACGGACATCACAGGCACACAGAGGCAGCTGCCGGAGGTGAATCAGACAGGTGACCTTGGAGTTGGGGGTCAGCTCTACCCTGGCCTTGGATGTGAGCCAGAAGTAGGGGTCCTCTCTGGAAAGACACCCCAGGCCCCACAGTGCTGGTGGGACCTCAGGCTGTGCCCTGGGAGACATGGAATCCCACAATGTGCTGGGCCTGCAGCAGGACAATGAGGCCAGGGCACACCTGCCTCTAGAAGCTGGGCTGGGAGCAGCTGGCTGAGTCTCCCCAAAACTTCTGGTCTCAAGTGGAAGCAGAAGGAGAACAGGGACAATGAAAGACAGGGATGGAGGCAGCGGCCTGGCAGGAGAACGGTCCCCTGAGAAGCGGCCTGGCACGTCTGTCTGTGAGGGTCTGCTCGTCACACCTGCGGGAAAGGTCCATTAGAACAAGGGAAGGGGGCACCTTGGGCGGGGAGGGGGAGTGCGTCCCTGGACAGGAAGGCACCCCCGCAACCACGCCTCACGTCCACAGTGGACCAGAGACTCCAAATCTGCTGGTTGAAGGGGCTGGGGTTTGCAGAGTGTAGGGGAAGCAAAGCCAGCTGAGGGAGAGGAGCAGTGTAGGGTTGGAGCAGCCAGAGCAAGACCTGGGCACTCTTGGATGTGGACTGGGCAACCTCGGGCAGTTATTATGTGTGCTGGGGAGTGTGGGCCTGGGTATTCCCAGGGCAAGTCCCTCTCTCCCCCCTCACCTCAACATCCAGGTAGGTCTCTGCTCTCACTTGGGTCTTCTTGGTGTCTGTCTGCTCTTTCTGCACCTCCTGAGTGGGGGCACCAGGGTATACACTAGGGACTAAGGCTGGCTGTGTAAGGGCTTGGATCCCTAGGCCCCACCCCTTCAGAGACAGAGGACCCCAGCCCATCCTCCCCTCCGCTGCTTCTGGGCCCCAGGCTGCTCCAGCCCACACCCCATCTCCAGCCTGGCATATCTGTACCACCCACTGATCAGGCTGTCCCCCAGGGAAGGCCCAGAGAAAGAAGACTTGGCCAGGGATGGCTACCTGGGGGTCCTGCTCTTCAGGTCCCTGGGTCCTGCTGATCCACAGGTTGATCTTTGAAGTGACCACTCCTGGGAGTTTCAACTTCTCCTGAAAACAGAGGCTTCCATCTCAGGGCTGGGCCGCTGGCCACAGCAAAGCAGCTTCACAGGCTAGTACTGTCCCACAGCACACACCACACACACATCCCCTCCTCCCAGGAGTGACCAGCAGGCCAAAGGAGACATGGACTCAGGAACAGGAATGGCCCCTCATATTAGCAGTAGGTGACCCCACAGTCGACACACGGAAACGGAGTTTTCCAGCAGCACTAGAACCAAGCTTTAGGGATGGGGACCTCAGGCCTCATCAAGCTGAAGACACCTGCTGGCCTCACCTTCAGGCTGGAGGCTGTTTCTGCTTGGCTCTGCCCATTCATCTCCTTCTCAAAGAGGTGGCGCTTGCTGGCCACAGTGGAGGGAGCCACAATGAACTCTGTGCGGGAGGAGGCTGGATACTTGACAGATTCTGATCTCTGGGAAGAGAGAACACGAGCGCTGGCCCACCAGTCTGAGGTGCCTGGAACCTCCACCTCCCATTCCAGTGTCCAGGCCTCTGTAAGAGCCCCCACCCACCTGTACAGCCGAGTTGTATCTCCCTAGCCTGTCCCCAAACTTGTTAGTGTTGGACGGGACCTTCACACTGGCACTGCGGGATGGGTCCTTAAAGCTGGCACTGCGGGATGGGTTCTTAGAGCTGGCACTGCAGGATGGGAGGACAAGACAAAGAGGATGACAGACCAGGCCTGACCCCCGAACCTCAGGAGAAGCCTCCACCCCACCATCTGGCAAGGAGAATATGGCTGCCATCATCGAGCCAAGCATGATTTGACCAAGGTGAAAATCTACAGACTCCAGGGACTTGCCCTGCCCTCTAAAACATCCCAGTTAGGACATTACCAGGATCAGAACTATCTCCATCACTCCCCATCCCATCCCTTCCACCTCAAAAATGTCTCTTCACTCAGGCTTTTCCTTTCCATCCTCCATTAAACTGAGTCACCTTCTGCCTACTCCCCCTGGGGACCCCAAGTTCTCTCCCCCAAGAACACTCCTACCCCAAATAAAGCCCATCCTGTCCTTCCACTCCAAATAGGGACCAAGGTCTTGGCTCAGCATCCAAACTCACGGTCTGGTTCCTGCCTCTCTTGAAGCGCCTTACACACATGCTTACATTTCAGCCAACCAGACGCTTGATGACACCCACCTCTGTCTCCTAAAGGCTGTTCCCTCTATTAAAAAGCCATTCCTTTGCTTTTCCACCTGGACATCTACCACTAGCTCAAGTCCATCTGGATGTCTATTCTTCTGTGTCAGATTCCCTGGCTCTGGCTGGCTGAGAGCTGCACCCCAGAATCCCCCAACCCCTAGCTCATCTTCCTACCCTTCAGCTCCAACAGGGGCTCTTGTGAGCTTAATGATCTGAGATGAGTGACTTCCAATGTGTCTTATTACTCTGCCCCACACAGCCCATCCCCTTACCCCCTAGGGCCTGCCAAGGGCAGCCAATCTCCAGGGGTGGTTAGGGGTACTAGGTAGAGGAGGACAGGACATCTCGGCCCATCCACACAGCTGAGGCTCAGAGCCTTTTCTATTTTTGTTTTTATTTTAATCAAAACACAGTCCTTAGTCTACTCATACCAACACCAGGTATTGAAGAAAAGTGGTGGTGTTCTCCTTAAATGCAGATTCACAGGCCTGCAGCATCAGGTACTAAAGCTGACTCATTCCCTGTGCTGGTCACAGTCTCCCTCTTGGAAAGCCCTCCTCTCCTCCCACCCCACACCTCACACTAACCGCCCCCCCACCTTGACAGCCCCACCTGCCCTCCTCCACAGAGCTTTTCCCAATTCTTCCCCTGCCTGTTCCATCTCATCTGGCCTCAGTCTCTGCTAATCCAGCCTCTGGGCCAGATCTGGAGCCCAAGACCAGGAGCGCACCCCTCCTGCTCCTGGGGGCCTGTGGCCCAGGCTAGCACAGGGAGAAACATCCCAGATGGCAGATGCCCAGCAGAACAGCTGAATGTGACAGCCAGAGCTCCTAGGCCCCTCACCTTCGGGTTAAGGGTTTTTCTATGTTGTCTTCTTTGAAGTTCATCTGAAAGGAGAACAGAAGAATGGTGAGTGAGGGGCCAGGGCAGCCAAGGCTGCCTCTCAGAACACTGCCTCCTCCTCAGACCTCCCCCGACTCCACTGCCCCACCCCAGCTAAGCCTCCAAATGCCCCTTCCCCTGTCTAGGGGAAATCTGCCCTCTTCTACCAGGTAGGGTCAGAGCCCCAACTTGGGGTCCCCCAGGACATCACAGGTCTCTGCAACCACCTGTTTCGTCTGCCTCCCTGCTGCCCGAGCCCGCTGTGGACAGGGACCTGCATCCTGCTCCTAGGGCCCAGCACACATTAGGAGCACAATGCACAGTCAGTCCGAGATGAGTCGATGACTCAAGGACCCAAGGAAGAGCCAATAAAACTTGGTATGAGGTAAGATGAGTGCCCCCCCCCCATATCACTTGTATATGGGGAGGGCAAAGCAGAGGGCTCTAGGAGAGCTCTGCTGCTCTCTGTCCTATTTTCCCCTCCTGCACAGCCTCCTGTGTAAGCCCCGGAGCAGACCAGGCAGGTGTGGGTCTGAGCCAGGGTCGCGGCCCAGTGCCAGCTTCCTGCAGCTCCCTCCTTCCACACTAGGTGGGGCTGCTCAGGCTTGTCCACACATGATTTCTAGATCTTTAACCTGCTGACCTTTATTGAATGCAAACTTGTGTGCTCTTGGTCACCCAGCAGGGTCCAGGGCCCCTCCCTATCCAGAGGATCCTCATGGAAGCTACATGAGGTCCCAGGCTGCAATGCACACTGGCTTCCTTGGCTGGCCCTCCATGGGACTGGAGACAAAGATGCCCTGGGTTCTCACCCGAAAGGAGAGGGTCCTGGGGCTGGAGCGTTGGAGGGAACTGCTGTAGGTGGCCTGGGTAGGCGAGATCATGTCCCCCTCTTCCTCTTGCTGGCTGGGTATTTTCACCTGGTGGAGCAGGGGGAGTGTTTTTTAGGAGGGAGGATAGGGACCTACCAGACCCGGGAAGCCCCAAACCAAGCTGCCTTGGGGAACCCTGGTGGCCTAGCTCTGCCCCAAGCTGCCTTCCTCTGCTCCTCCTGCCTCTTGCCTCTGCTGTGGACCTACTGGACACAGTCCTGAGGGGCCAGGCCACCAGGGAGAGCTTTCAAGGAGAGCTGCTGAGGCTTTCTAAGTGTCTGTGACCCTGGAATCTGGGCCCTGGATGAGGAGGTGGCACTGAGCACCAGGTGCTTCCCTTCAACAGCTGGAACCCTGACCAGATGCCAGCAGCCTGCCCTGCCTCAGTGTCCCCTATTCTGATAGTTCCTGAAAGCAGGTAGGGAGGGAAGAAACTGCCAAGGCCAGCCTGAAGGTGAGTGGTCAGGAGTCAGCAGAGGAGTCAGAGCCAGCTGGGCAGGACTACAGGGGAGGGTGGGAGGATGGCAGGGGCAGGAGCTGTGCCCACCTCGAGTGTGATGGGCTTGAAGTGGGAAGTAGGGAGGCGGGAGGGCCTCTGCTCTCCCTCCTCTGCTGAACAAGGGGGCTTCTCCTCAGGAGGGGCCTGTCCTCTCTGCTTGGTGATAGTTGGCCTTCCCCCAGAGCCTGCCTGCTCTGGGGCCCGGGGATGCTCCGGGGTCTGGGGCTGCTCCGAGGCTGCCACCCGCTTTGGGGTTGGCTTTGTCCGAGTGGCTGGGGTCTCCTGTGACACCTGCGGCTTGTCAAACATCTGTGATATGGCAGACACTCTTCCGCCTGCACCTAGTATCTTCCCCAGGGCTGGCGACTTCTCTGACACACTTCGTTTTACTACAATCGATTTTTCCTCTGAGGTGGACCTTTTCTCTGATGCAGCTATCTTTTCCTTAACAGACATTTTCTCAGGGGCAAGGCCCTTCTTGGAGGTTTCCTCTGAGGCCAGTCTCTTTTCAGGTGATAATGTCCTCTCGGGAATGAAGGACTTCTCTGAGACTGGGCTCTTCTCTGGAGATAGGACCTTCTCAGATACTCGCTTTTTCCCCTCTCCTGGCTCTCTGCTGGCCGAGTGCTCCTCCTCCTTTATCCAGGGGCCCCTCCGCTCCTGGCTCAGTCTGCATGGGAGGGGCTTCTCCACCTCCTTCTTGGGCACGGGGGGCTGCTGCTTGGCCTGCCCCAGGCCAGCACCGCTCCATCGTTTCTCTGCCTCCGGCTGCTCATGGACAGGGGCCTGTGCCCCCTCCACCACCTGTCGCCTCTGCTGCCGTTCCTGTCGAGTCCGGGAGATGGACTGGAATTCCTCAGCCTCATTTTTGGAGGCTGCGGGTGGTGACGTGGGTGGCTCTTCTTCTTCCACACTCAGCAGCCTGCACCAGAAGACCAGAGTGGACAGGAAAGGGAATCAGAGATGTGAGAGGTGGAAGGACCCTGAGCAGGTGCAGATGGCGCAGGTCTACCCAGTAGGGAAGGACAAAGCAGAGCCTGACCTTCCCCACCACCGTCGCTTAAATAAGAATCATTTTATCTGCTATGTATTGGGCTTTGATGCCTGCGAACAAAGCCCTCTGAGCTTCATAAAGCACTTAGGAATCTCTGTCAGGATCAACCATTCCGTGTTCTGACTGACAAACACTGATTAAACTTCAAAAGCGGCAGGCCCTGGAGGCCAGAGGGATAAAGGCCATCTCCACCCTTGCTTAGATTAAAACCAGAGACATTTGGGGATTTGCCAAAGGTCACACAGCCAGTAGTTGGTGGAGCTGGGGGTAGCACGCAGACTTCTGTCTGATGTGCCGTCCACACGCCTGTCAGTCACACGGGTCTGAGGGAGGAGGCGACAGCCATGGGAGGGTGGAGCCCAGGACACATACCCTGTTCTCCTGCCCCTGGGGACCCAAGGGAGCACCACCCACAGTGCCTGGCCTTCAGCAAAGGTGATTCTTGTCCTCCCTCACTGTCCTACTCTCCATGTGATCCAGGCCTGTGAACTCATTGTCTGAGCCTCAGTTTCCAAATCTGCAAACTGATTTACACAGTGCTGGCTCTCGGGAGACTCTCATACCCGCCCTCCTCCTCCTTCCCCTTGAACCCTCAAATCCCAGTCTGTAGGGAGAAGACATGAGGCCTCCCCAACCCAGCACCTGTGTGGGGGCTGCTGGTCTCCATTGGGGGTGGGCCCAGACGCCACATCTTCATCTATGCTGGCGCTCTGTAGGCGGTTTCGTCTGCGGCGCTCTCGTTCCACCTCCTCCTCGTCCTCTATAGACCACGCCTTGGTCAGGCTGGGGGGAAGGGAGAAGGTCAGTATAGTCCAGGGAACACCCCAGGGCCCACTCCCAGGTGGCTGCATGTGGGGCTCAGAGAGACCGAACCCCTCTGGGTTGCACCCTCTGCACATGCTGTAGACACTGGAAAAGCTGGTGTGAATGAGTCTAACACACTTTTCCCCAACCTACTGTGAAACAACGCAAAATAGTTCACTGGTCACTGGGCATATTTGCAGGCTGACGTGAGATTTCAACTATAGTGGAGAAAAAGATACGAGGTATTGTCTGTTTCTCCTTGTAACTTTTTGAGATGTCTACTAGAAAATTTGAAATGTTAGATGTGGCCCATATTTGTGGCCTGCAATATGTATCATTTAAATATTTACTTTGGAGCCTCCCTGGTGGCGCAACAGGTTAAGTCTCAGCACTATGAAGCTGTTGGCAGCCACTGCAGCACCAGTTCAATCCCCGGCCAGGGAGCTGACCCACATGGCACAGCAGACCTCTCCTGACTAACCCACTGCTCCCTTCAGCAGTATGCTTCAGTCAATCTACCTGTTCTGCTCCCCACTCTGTCTCTGATGTATCCTCTCACATCCCCCCAACACCCCCCCCCATAACTCTGGCTTACACCTCAGCTCTTGTTTGCATAAATAAATAAGATAAATCGTAAAAAAAAAAAAAAAATCTACTCAAACTGCAAAGATTTGACCAGAGTTCCTCACCTTCGGCACCCAGGGCCTTGGCTGATCCATCCATGTGCAGAGCTGACCTGCGTGGGGACTGGGAACAGACCCCTGTTCTCCCACCCAAGGCTGTAGCCCCACACCCATGCATGACTCCCCACATGTTCCCCTGGGGGAATAGCCACCCCAGATGAGAAACATGGGGTGTTCCTACTCCAGACCCCAAAGAGGGATATGATACCTCCCTCCCTGGGGGTGACTGGCAATGTAGGAGGGTGAGCCTGGAATTCCCAAGGAGGAGGTAAACTTGACAGATTCCTCTTTCATTTTACTCTTGGAATTCCTAGAGATTAATCCTCAAAGGACGATCGCAGAAATTTGCTCATCTACCAACTCCCACAGGATTTCTTGTGAGGGCAGACTCACAATAAGACCAATTACTCCTGCAAAAAATTCCATTGTCTTCCTGTACTTTCCTGGAGCTCTTTGAGCCTCTTTCCACCTTTAGAACCAGCTTCTTCTTGCTCAGGAGCAGGGGAAGCCCCTGCTTTTAGCCACCAGGCACCTGCATTCATAGGAGCTTGTAGCTAGCCGGCCACCCTCCAGTCCCCTGTCTCCTCCTCCTCACTTATCTGCCCAGCCTGGTACCTGTCCATCCAAACACCCATGTGCTAGGCAGCCTCCCATTTCCATCCACCCACCAATCATGTTCATCTGCCTCCCACCAGCCCGCAGCCGCTTCCATCCACCCACGCTTCCAACCCAACCAAGAAGAAAAAGCTGCTGCTATGGGTCCAGAGTACACCAGTTACATGAGTTCACAGAAGGCTGCTGGGTCCCATATCCAACTACCCCTCATGCATACCCATTAGCTACTGCTGCCTTGTGAGAAAGAAACACACATGTGCATCAGTAACTCCCCACCAGAGACAGAAATCGCCCTGCTGTGAGAGAGACACTGGCAAGGCCAAGACTACCAGGTGGAAGCTGGGGTGGAGCTCAGTGGGTCGGGATGTCAATAGGTGATGGGGAAGGGGCAGTCCAGGCAAAGAGGAGACCCCAGCAAGCCTGAGGTGGGAAGGACGGGCTTGTTGGGGGTGGAGAGGCTGTGCTTCCCCAGAGCAGGAGAAGGGTCCATCAAGAGAGTGGCAGGGGTGAGGCCAGCAGGGTGCATCTCTGTGGCTCCCCCAGCACTGTCTGGGAGCCACATCAGAAGGGTCTGGAAAAGGCCTCCCCCTTCCCTCCAGTGTTCCACAGGCAGTGAGAGCAAGGCCTCTCCCAGGCCGCAGTCAGACACCAAACCTGCTCTCCCGGCCTCTCCAGCAGCCCAGCCCTGCTCCTTTAGGGCCTTCCCTGGCTGCAGGTTTACCCCCAGGCCAGCAAGCCTCGAGTTAATAGGAAGAAAATGGGGGTGGGGTAGGGGGTGGGGGGAAGGTGCAAGTAGGTCCACTGGTTTATAAACTGAATTGCACATGAACTGCATCTGTGGCACCTCCAAAAGAAAAGGCCTCCAGGGCGTCTTTTGCAAGGCAGGGTCACCAGGCCCTTCCTTCCAGACATTGCTCCCCTTCTTCAGTTTCCTTCCTAAAATAAGGAGGACCAGCCGCGTGACTACTCCAGTCTTTTTTTCTAGGTCCAGCATCCTATTTGCTGATCCATCACTCACTAAACCAGATACTTTTGAGCTCTGACTGCATGGCATACGTGGTCCCTGGGACCAGGATACAGGGACAAGAGGACAGAGGACCCGAAGGGGCGGTGGGTCAGTGTGGGAGAGACAGTGCAGGTAGGGAGTGCCGTGAGTCCCCAGAACAAGGTAAGAGGTCCGTGAGACAAGGCCCCTGAGGGCGGGAGAAGGAGCCCAGAGCCAGGCCTGGTGGCAGTGCCCCAGGAAGAGGGTGCACAGAGAGGCCAGAGCAAAGGTCCTGGCAGCCCAGGGATTGCTGGGAGAGTTGGGTGTTGTCTCTGGAGAGCCAGGGTATGCCGACACTGAGGAGGGACAAGCTAGGTTTTATTTTAGTCTCTGACTGGTTTATGGAATAAGAATGGGACAGGGGAAGGGAGAGGAAAGGGGTGGGGTGCATCTCAGCCCGAGCCCAGCCGGAGCCGACTGCACCCTGGGGCCAGGGGCGGGTTCGGACACCCTGACGACACAGCCAGGGCATCCTGATGGGCTGGAGGGCGGTGAGGGGTGAGATCGAGAAAAATCAAGGAAAATGTGACTTTAACTTGGTGCTGCTGTTTATGCTACGAGGGAAAAGGCTAGGGAGGAAGGAGCTTGAGGAGATGTGGGTGAGGAGGCAGAACAAACAGAGCTGTTTCTGGTTTGTTCAGAGTTTCTTGGGGAACCACCAGGGAAGCAAAGGCCATTTGGCCAGGGGCAGCAGGGACGGCAGGGAGATGATGGCCCGGGGGGAGGACAGGTCCTGCCAGGCACTGTGGAAGGGTAAGGACCACCAAGATGGAGAAGCGAGCACAGCCCTTCCTGGTCCCCCAAAAACAGCAGCTTGGGGAGTAGGGCACAGCGGTCCTGGACAAGGAGAGAGTGGAACCAAGAATGAGGAACTGGTGACCACCAGCGACTCCTTTGAGAAGTCTTACTAAAAGCAAATAGAATGGCACGGCAGCCGGTAGCCGGAGGAGGACAAAGAATGCTTTTTTTCACTTGAGGTGAAACCTGCAAGAATCACACAGCCTTTAAGTGGTATTTCTTCGACAAGGTAGGCAGGAAGGAAGGAGAGTGGAGGAAAAACAGGGAGATTTGAAAAGAAAGTGTGAAGAATTCCTGCTGGTAGAGAAAAGAGCTGGGTGTGGGGAGCCTTTCAGCTCTGGCAGCCACACCAGTGCCACCAGGAAGCAGCAGAGATGCCAGGGCTGAGAAGGTGTGGACCTCAGACCTGAAAGCAGCAAATCTCTGTGGTGATAAGAGCAGAGAAAGGAAAGTGAATCTCTACCCAGCAAAGATAAGTAACTCCCCAACATGCAAGGAGCTGCCTGTAGAAGGGAATTTTCTAGAACCTCCCAGTTCCGACCGACAGGGTAGCTGTTGGTGAAAACCTCAGTTCATCCTGCTGTAGTCGGGTTTCCTCCATGGAGGAACTCCAGCAGAGGCCATAGCCTTGACCATAGACAGGAGCTTCAGATGCCCTGTCTTCAACTGCCGATCATTCATTCATTCATTCATTTGTTCACTGCGTACAGACTGATGATCCTGGATGAGCCAAGCTCTGAAGCCCCACCCCTCCTCAGCTTCCCTCATGCAGATTTTAAAATGTTAACTTAGCTGGCTCTCCTCTGAGGCTCTGTTTCCAGGCCCCCTCCTCTGAAGATACCCCTGCCTTAAGTCCACAGTTGGGGAGCAGCTCTTTCCTCCAAAGCTGAGGGTCTATATCCTGGGGAAAGTGGCCCACCAAGTTCCTCTCCCCACCACACCCACAGCCAGGTGGGGCCAGGCCTCCAGGATTCCTGGGTCCTGAGCAACCCCCGTTCCCACACACTCCTCTCAGCCCTCAGGGAAGCCGCTTATTTGTTTATCCTCCGGTGGGGCCCTATATGGAGTGTGATCTGTCAGAGCCTGGTCTCCTCAGAGATGACTCACTCTCTGGGTAGGTCCTAGCCCTGAGGGGTCTCCAGGGCTGGCGCCTACTAGGTGGGGCCCAGGTGTCCTTGAGTGTCCCCCAGCTCCAAAACTCCACAAATCACCCCAGGTGACATGGTCGCCCCCCCATGTGCTGCTCAGAGACCATGGGGGCTGCCTTCAAAACCTGGTACCCCAACAAAACGTAAAGCTCCCATACCACCACTGCACCAGGGAGGAGAAATGTCATCTGCAACATGCAGAGCCCTTGGCCTCTGAAGACGAGGAAATAGATAGAACTGGAGGGGACGGAGGGACAAAGTCCCCAGGAGGAACCTGTTGGAACCCAATAATAAATAAATAACAACTAGGGCTCAGATCTGTGCACTCAAAATACAGGTGGAATATTGTGGCCCCTAGTAAATCAACACACAGAGGACTGGAGGAAGAGGGGAGGGCACTAGCAGCAGTGCCACTGTCATGCCAGGCACTGTGCTAAGTAGTTTTCAGATACCATTGTTCTTAACCTCACAGCCACCCAGTGTGATCCCCATATTGCAGATGAGGAAACTGAGGCTCACAGGGGTTAACTTTTCCAGAATAGCACAGCTAATAAGGAGCCAAGATTTCAGCAGAAGTCAGTCTTGCAAAAGCCTGTGCCCTTCACCACAAGCCCGAGGGCCAGGAATGGGTGTCCTGGGAGGGTTGGTCCTTAATCATACTGAGCACCGCCAACCCCTGAATATTCAGGGAGCTGAACAGGCCTCTGAAGGTGCTGGTGGAGTCGCCTGGGAGAGCAGAGGTTTGGGGAAATTCAATGCATTGGCCCTTTGGAGCTTCTGAGTCAGACCCTGGCTCTGCCACCCTCCTGGAGTCCCAACAACTCACCCTGGGCAGCTGCCTCCCACCCCCTCCCTCTCAACAACCCTCTCCTCCACTTCCTGGCCTTGGGGGTTGGGGGGACATTCCACCTTCTCAGCCTCCAAGGAGTGCTACTATCCTCCCTACTCCTGACTGCACTAATGCCATTGCTTAGCACTGGGATCCTTTTTCCTCAAAATAATTCTAGAAGCATCTGCCCCATTGCTCACTGAAGTTCTTGCTTTGGTCTCTCCCATGGGGCTGTGGGCTAATCATCTATTCTGGGAAAATATCAGCAGCAGGTAAGTGCATTGTTATTGTTGTTTAAATGTTATGTTTCAGAGCACAACCTTTCTTCCCAAATTGAACCGCAAATATAGAGCTATTATAGGACAGACAGGTCAAGGCTCAGCTGCCTGGTTCAAGTAGGGGAAGGATGTGAAGCATCTGGGTTCTAGGAGCAGGAAAAGGATTTGTAAGAAGGAGAGCAGAAACAAGGGAACCCAGGCCTGGCCCTGGGCTGGGGGCCCTGCTCTGACCAGGGGCCAGTCTTCAGCCCCTGAGCAGGCTCCACTTCCACACACAGAGGGTCTCGTGGGTGAGGTCCCTTCTAGCAGTGATGGTCTAAGGAAAGATGTCAGGGTTGCATTGAGGGCAGAGAAGGAGCTGAGACACTGAAGACCAGCAGGGAAATGATTAACCACCTGCTCGTTCCTGGCACTCCCAAATCCACCCCTCACCCCCCACAGACAGGCCCAGCCCAGCTCCTCCTCACCAGGCTAGCCCAGGGAGAAAAGGACAAGGCCACACTCAGGGCACCGAGCCAACTCACTACTCCTCCATTCCAGGACCTGAGCAACTAAATTTCTAAACTCATTAAAAGAACAGGCTGTGGGCTGGCCACAGCTCCACACCTGGGCCCTGGGGGGCCACACTGCTCATGCCCTCAGCACAGTCCTCCTTAGCCAGGGAGGCTGGGCTGGGGGTGACTCAGCCTCACCCGCCTGCCGGCCACAGAGGCTGCTTGTTAGCGGGACGGGAGCAAGCAGGATCAGCCCTCTGTTCCAGGCAATGCTAGCAACAGCTTGTCTCCAACTGGAGACCAGCAGGGGGGCAGCATGGGACTCCTGGGACAGGACTGGCTCCCCAGGGCTTCCCTGTACCTACTTGGGACATCCCATGGGATCTTGGTCCCACCCCCGCTGCCACATGGGACCGTGTCCATCTGTGCACACAAGCTAAGGCCAGACCTTCTCCTATTTGAAAAGTTCCAGTGCCCAGGCTGTCCAACACACACACACACACACACACACACACACACACAGCCTCTGCATATCCAGGCATGCACTCAGACACAAAATCACATACACCCCACCAGAGTGAGCTCCTGGGGAGGCAGCATCTGTCTTGTATTTTTAACCCAATACAATACTGAGTCTTCAAGAAATGTGCAAACCAAACATGCTGGCACTCCCAAGGCCCCAGCTCAGCAGCATGAGAACCCGCCACCCACACAGAATCTCCTCACTCCACAGGCCATAAGCATACTCGCCCCCCACATGTCCAGGCACTTAGAAGACCACATACTTCGGCACAGGTGCCCACACTGAGAATCCCAGACACTCCCACATTAACCCCATGCACAGGGACACACATTCAGAGTCTAAGACCTTGGCCCCCCCAGCCCCACCCTCAGTACAGACTTTCCTTGGGTGTGCCTAACCTCTAGGGTAGCCTGGCTTGCTTTTCCAGAGCAAGTCCCTCCATTCCTGAGGCTTACCTTTTCCCCTCTGTCAAACCCATGGCCACTGTGTGGAGACACAGGGGTGACAGGGAAGTGTGCTTCAGCAGTATGACCCTGGGGATGTGGACCCCCAGGGCTAGCAAATGAGCTGCTGTGGGAGGCTGAGACCCTGGAGAGTTCTGCAGTCCTCCAGAGCACTGGAGGATGCTGGAAAGCTACCTAGATGGGGAGCATGAGGGGTTACACCTGCAGAAATAGCCCTGGTCTCCAGCCTTAATACCTAAAGCCCACCTGGAAGGGGCCAAGCAGCAACTTCCACCTGGTTAGAGCTTCAGGACTTAAAGGAGCAGGCACCCAGTTCCTTGCTCTTACATGGGTTTCAGTTCCCTCAGGGTGGAGGTGGGGTGGGGGTTTTGTGCAGTAGGGCAGTGGGGCTGCAGAAGGTGAAGATGCTCTTGTGATACTTTTGGGGTGGAGCTGCCTCCTCAACAACCCCCACCCAGGTTTCTCTGACAGGATGCCCAGAGGCAGGGATACTGTACTCAGTGCCCTGACCTTGGGGGGACCGGCTCACACATAAAGACTGAAGCACAGAGGAGCAGCCACTATCTGAGGTCACCAGACACACACCAAAATACCATTCTCAGAATTTGAATCTCATTCGTGAAAAGGGGATCTGTCCCCTCTGGTCCTACTCACTAGTCCCTCTCCGGCTGACCCCCCAAGGGGGTGATACCCCACTCCTGGCACACTCCCTCAGCAAAAGGGGCCCCTCCCCATGGTCCACTCTGCAGCTTCCTTCAGAGACAGAGAGCGGCAAGGGAGCCTTCCCTCAGGAAATGAGACTTGGCAGGAACGCAGAACACCTCCCCAGAACCCCAAAAGTCTCCTTCCCTGACAGGGGGATACCCAGGGGGTGCTCTAGGCTGGGGACCATCCTTCCCCAAGCACCCTGCGTGCCCCCAGTCCCCAGCAGGGAGGGAAGGAAGCTGTGGAGGAGTGAGAACACCCACCCTGTCATATGAGGGCACCCCAGTTGGGCCCCAGTTCTGTCCCCGGAGGAGCAGTAAGGTGGGATGCAGAGTCAGTGCCAGGCTCCCAGGGCGGGAAGATGCCCCAGGAGAGGCAATTCAATGGTGCTCCTAGGCCCCCAGCTCCTGCCCTGCCAGAGGCCGGGGGAGGCGGCGCTCACCTGGACAGACTGGACAGCCTGGACTGCCTGGACATCGAGGAGGACGAGTCCTTCCTCCTGACAGACATGCTGCCGGAGCCCGTGCTGCTGCTGCTGCTGCTGCGTGCGTGGCGCTCTGCTGGGACGGCCGCCGCCTCACCTGCGCGCCCCTCCCCCGCCGGCCCGGCCCGGCCCAGGTAGGATCACATGGCCACTTATATCACCGGGCTCCTGCCCCGCGCCGCCGCGCTTGGATTTGCCGACCTGGGAGCGGCCTCTGGGGTGTGGGCGTAGCAGACAAAGCAGCATTGATCTCCGCCCGGGCCGGCCGGACCGCGGGGCCACCAGCCCAGGTAGATGGTCAGATTGGCTACCAAGGGACCGGAGGACGCGAGGGCCAGCGCGGGGCTGGTCGGCTGCCCCGGGCGAGGGCGGGAGACATCCTGCTCAGAACCAGTAGAACCAGCTGGGCGCTGGGCTGCCGTGGCCCTGGGTGCCGGGGAGTGGGGCGGGGACCCACAGATCGGGGTCAGACTGAGCTCACTGCTTGCTGGTAAACCACTTAGCCTGGAGAAACCCAAGAGCAGGAAACTCAGCAGAAAAGTTAGAACAGGTACCGTAATTTCTGGTGGTGAGCGCCCTGCGCCTCCCGGTTGCCTTCCGCGAGCCCCCTCGCCGGAACCATCTGGATTTATCTCCCCTAACAGGCCCCAGGACTGAGGGGATGCACCGCTTTCCCGCACAGCATACAAAGCACACCCCCTGTAGAGCCAGCCCCTCCCCACATGGATCCTGAGACTCAATCCAGCAGCACTGAGTGCGCACAGCCCTGAAAATGCAGAAGTCAAAGGCACCGTCCCTACTGACAGATACTGGACTTTGGGCTGGAGGGGCAGAGGAAGCTCAGCTTTTCCCTGGAAGGAAACAGGGAACACAGATTGCTAGGCCAGAACTGGGGAGCAACTTGAGGTGGTGCAGATACCACCAGCCCACCTGGCTCCCTCTAAGTGCCCCGGGGGGCTGCCAGGTGCTTCCTATCCAGGAAACAGCCTCAGAGGGAGGGTCTGTTGCTGAGCAAGGAGGATCTTATCTTCCCTGATGGGTCAGAACTGCAAGTTCAGCAGCAGTGGTTCCTGCTCTGAGAAGATGAGGTGCCACACCAGGATGCCCCAATGGAGAGGAGCCCAGACCACCAGGCTGCTGCTGGACCTCGGTCCCCAATCTGGCATCCCTTTGGCTCTGATCCAGACCTGGTGGTCTCTCCTGTGCACTCCAGTTCTGGATCACAAGCGAAGGGCAAACCCTTTGCTGAGCAGGAGCCACCCACACATCCAGTCTGCTCATGCAGCTCCTGCCCCCCAGATGCCTCCTCCAGGGAGCATTTCTCCTTGTTGTAGGAGGCCAGGAGGCCAAGGACTGAGTGGTGGGGAGAATCTTGGAAACCTATGAGTTCTGATTCTGCCAGCGATGAGCCGTGTGACTTGGGGCAAGCATGTGACTTGGGGCAAAACGATTCACTAAAATCATTTGTGCAGTAGAAATCATAACAATACCTTGCCCTGCTTCCTTCTAGGTTGTGGGGATCAAGTGGGTAGATTTGGGCACTGGCTAAGCAATGGGAGAGTTGACAGGACACAGAATTTTGAGTAGAGACTGTGGCAGCGCCCTGAGCCCTTTGCTCCTTCCAAGGAAAGAGAAAGAACAGTAACCTATGCCCCTGGGTACCCCTCCCCGGGGCCCTAAACTTCAGGGTCTCTGCTGTCTCCCTGGAGACCCAGGGAGTGCCCTTCCCAGGGTTTGTCAGTGGTGGCACCTCAATTTAGGAAGAAAAGTACTGCTGGGTATTCGAAGCCTGGCACATTTGCTGTAGCCAGGGGGCAGCTAGGTGTCTTAAAGTCCAAAACCCAGCACCCTGTGGATGGACATAAAAACCTAAGACAGGGAAGGTTGGCATGCAGATGACTCCAGGAGTTGGGAAAGTAAATCATGCACATGCCAGCACCTGTCTCTTGAGGCAGGGGTCATATCTTCATGGGACACATCCTACGTACAGGTCCTGATGCCTGACTCGGGTGGTAGTTCCTTGGGGCTGCTGTAACAAAGCACACAAATTGTGTGACTTAAGCCGACAGACACTGATTTGCTCACTGTATGGAGGCCAGACGTCTGATCAAGCTGTCTGCAGAGACGTGCTACCCCCCCAAGGCTCCAGGGGAGAACCCATCCTTAGCTGTTGTGCTGTTCAGCCAACTGGTGTTCTTGGGCTTCCTCACTTGGCAGTTGCTCCAGTTTCTGCCTTCGTTGTTACAGGGAGCTGTCCTCAGTCTCTGTCCAAATTCCCCTCCTTATAAAAACTTCCATCGTGGGGTAGGGCCCACCCTCATCCAGTATCATCCAGTATGTCCACATTTTAACTTGACTGCATCTGTAAGTCCCAATTTCCAAATAAAGTCTCATTCACAGGCACCAGGAGTTAGGAATTGAGTATATCTCTGGGGGTGGGGGGGGCATCATTCACTAAAATCAGTAGGTAGTTTTGACACTTGATGATGCAAAGATGACAAGAACCTAGTTCCTAACCTCTAGACATCCCACTCTAGAAAGGAAGACACACACATGCCTGTGTACCCACATCTTTACTTCCATAAGAAAACACACACACACACACACACACACACACCCCAAGCTTCATGCAAGTAAGACTGTGCAAAAAATTGACTTTGCGTCACCAGGAGGGATGAACTTGAGTGGAGACACTGGGGAATCTTTGAGAGGAAAGAACACCTGGGTTGCATCTTACAGGTGAAGTAGAAAAACTGTTGAGGGCACAAGCCATGGGGGACAGAATCAACCAAGTGACAGGGCCAATGTAGTGTGTGTTTGTAGAGTGGGGACATGGCTGTTGTCCCTAAAGCATAGTGTGGTCTTCATGGCTGAGGGCGAAAGTGGGGGTGGATAGATAGTGAGGAGCTGGCGCTCAGGATCTGGCCTTTGTCCTTTAAAATATGTGAAGTTGAAGAAAATGGAAGGAACTGATGGCTGTTGTGTGGAAAGGCCCATAAGACTTGGAAAGACTTGGCAAGATGTCAGACCAGAATGGGGACACCACTTGGGGGACTCATTTGGTCTACAGCCCACAAAAGAGATGGAGGGGGCTTGAGCAAGGGCAGCCAGGGCTTGGGGGAGCAGGTGGAGAAGTGTTGACAAGAGCTTTGGAAGGCTGAATTGTTAGGTCTGGTGAAAGAAGAGAATCAAGGTGACCCCCAGCTCCCTAGCTTGAGCGGGTGAACGTGGGTGCCACAGGGGAGATGGGGATCCCAGAGGTGTTTACCAAGGAAAGTGACTCAGGACCACCAAGGGTTTCTCAGCCTTAGCGATACAGCATTTGGGGCCCAATAATTCTATTTTGTGGGAGGCTGTGTGCTGTAATGTGGTCAGCAGAATCCCTGGCCTCTACGCACTTGGATGTAAGTTCCCTGGAGGAATAAGGGGGTGCTGTCCATAGATTGCATCTTGGGGTGTGGGAGCTTAGGAGCAAGCTTTGCCCAGTGTTTTCCTCCAGCACAGAGGGTGAACTGCAGAGCAGGCAAGAGGAAGTTGTGATTCCTGGGTATGAGGATAGGGTTTGTGTTGAAGTATCTGTGCCGGGGCATCCCTGGTGACGCAAGGGGTTAAGTCGCAGCACTATGAAGCTCTCTGCAGCCATTACAGCATGAGTTCAATTCCCCTCCAGGGAGGTGACCCACATAGCAAGGCAGACCTCTCCTGCCTCGCCAGCTGCTGCCCTCAGCAGTGTATTTCAGTAGATCTGCCTGTTCTGCTCCCCACTCTGTCTTTGGTGAATCCTCTCACCCCCTGCACCTCTGGCCTGCACCCCAGTTCCTGTATGCATAAATAAACACATCTTTAAAAAATAAAAAAAAAGACAGAAAGAAAGTATCTGTGCCCATGTCCTAACTCCCGTGAGTCTTGAGAACAGGAGAGTCTTACCCAGCCCAGCATCCCCCGCGACACTGCACTCAATAAAGATTTGGAGAATGGTACTAACTTGCTTTGGGATGACAAACAGGAAAACCCGAAAGAGCCCAAGAAGCTCTGCTGAGTGCAACAAGTTCTGGGGGAGGCTCAGTTGGGGGTTCTAAGCATCCAGGACCTGGGCCTCCAGGATCTGGCAAAACCAGCTGTGGAGCATAGCAGCGGTCAGTGAAAACGTCATTCATGATGCCCCAGGGCTTACACTCCCAAGGAGAGAAACTCTTGAACACCAGAAGATTCACAAATAATCAAAGCAGTGCTACTTATGGTAGCAAAAGATCTAGAAACCCCCAAAGGCCTATGGACAAGAAAAAGGATGAATAAATGGTGCTTACAATATGTTGTCATTTCACAGTCCTGAAAACAAACTAGTTAAATATATCGGCAAGGGGAGCCAGAAGGGGGCTAGAAGGAGAAGAGGGATGAACTTTACAACCTTAAACTCAAAGAGGAAAACGCAGGAAGCATGCATCCCTGTTATCAAGAGAGCCAAGAGAACAATGAACACAAAATAAGGCTCACACTTGCCCGTGTGGGGACAAAGGGGCTATGAACAGAGCTGGCCTGCAGGGGCTTCCAAAGCATTTGTGACACCCTAGCTTTTTTTTTTTAAGATTTATTTATTTATGCATACAAGAGCTGTGGTGCAGGCCAGAGATGCAGGGGGGTGAGAGGATTCACCAGAGACAGGCCAGGGAGCAGAACAGGCAGACTGATGAAGTACACTGCTGAGGGGAGCAGCGGGCGAGACAGGAGAGGTCTGCTGCGCCATGTGGGTAGCTCCCTGGTGGGCCAGGGATCAAACTCGTGCTGCAGAGGCTGCAGAGAGCTTCATAGTGTGGTGCTTAACCCCTTGCGCCACCAGGGAGGCCCCTGCGACATCCTAGCTTTTAAAATGAGTGTCTGGCATGTGGATGTTCCTTTGTAATTCTTTAAACTATAAGCCTGTGCTGGTCACATCCCTTGGGGAGAGTCCACCAAGACAAGGCTGATCTCACTGGGATTTCCAAAGTAAAGGTCAAGGGTTTTCAAGACTTCCCAGCCAACCACAGGGAAAGGGGTCATCTCTTTCCTCCCCTCAGAACAGAAGTCAAGTTCTGGAATCCCCCACCTCAACCCATCTTTGAGGCTCATAGGGCAGCTTCTCCTCCAAAGAGACCAGAGTGGGGGCCCAGGGAGGTCCCCAGCCCCAGGCTAGCAGATTGGAAGTCGTACCCTGACCTATCAATTCTATTCCTGCTCATACGTCTGGCAGGGTGACTGTCCCATCCCTCTGGGACAGGGTGGGAGACAAGTAAATGAGTTGCTGACACCTGCCCTGAGGAACCCAGTGCAGTGGTTCCTGGTTTGGGGTTTTTACAAACGATGTTAATTTTGAATATGACTATGAATACCTGAATGGCCTTGCCACTATGCTAGTTTGTGAAGAATGTTATAAAGCAATTGCCACCTACTATCCTCCAACCTCTAAACAAAGGATATTTTACTGCTAAAATAAACCAGTGATGGTGTGCACACTCCCAGAAGGCAGAGCCCTTTGCATGGGGCGCTTTAACTCGATGAGCACTTCACCCGCCTGCCCTGGTCTCCCCACGATGCAGTTGGGCATTTGAAACCTGGAACACAAAGAGTCAATCAGGGGAACTGCCCCTGGGAAGCACATGTGTGCTCACACTCAGGTGTCCCTCACATTCAAAGGTGGGCAAGCCTCCCTCCAGCACACACACATGCACACACACACACTCGCCCCAGCAGCCCCTAGGTTGGAGCTTCTGCTCTGGCACCCAGGTGAGGCCATGCTCCTCTCCTGAACTTGGAGCAAAGGACCAGGTTTACCCAACTTGTGCCAACCAGGGACAAACCCTGTGGTTGGCGCTGGGGCCAGGCAGGGTGCTGAGCCAGGCCCAGAGATAAGCCATCTTCTCAAGTCCCCGGCCTCTGCCTCTGGCTGGGAGAACAAAGCTCTGCCCACACCCAGCTTTCTTAGTAAACTGGGTCCAGTTAGGCTGTGACCTTGAACAAGCCATGTTCCCTCTTGGCCTCCAGGCATTGATAGTTGCGCTCTGTGCCAGTGCCTGGTTATAGTGGCTCATGCCGCTCGGCCTCAGGAGTCCAGAAGTAGAGTGTGGGGAGTAAAAGAATACCATTGCCCCTTACCGCCAGGGAAGGGCCTGCAGGCTGCTGTGTGGGAGATTTTTGAGGAGAGCCCCTCTGGGGTCAGGAGGAGGCTGCTAGCTGCATTGGTCCCAGCGACCTGTCCCAGCTTGGTCACCCACCTGGAACAAAACCACCCCCCTGGCTGCCCAGACCAGAGCCCTGCAGGGAGTCTGACTCACTTTGTAGGGGGCCATTAAGGCTAATGTTTAACTGGGCTCCTCCTGCAACAGAGCACTTTACCCCCACAGCTGCAGCCCTGGGCTGCCAGCACTGCTGTGAGGTGCCCAAGCCTCTTGCCCCTTGGATGTGGGACCTCCAGGGGAAGGAGAGGCGGCTGCTGGCCTCCGAGGGCTCTGGGTCTGGCAGGGGTGTGGCAGGGGGCATTCTGCCTGCTCTATCTTGGTAAGAAGGGAGGAGCCCTGGGCCCCTCTCAGCCACAGAGGGGGTACTCACTTTGCAACTCATTTGCATGTTTCCGCCTTTGGTGGAGATCTTGGATTACCCAGATCCCAGCTGTGCCCTTTCTATAAAGGGACGGGTTGGGCCCTGTTGAGGCAAGTCTGATCCCAGAAAGGGCAACCCCCAAATACAGGTTGCCCTGGATTCCAACCACAGAGCTCTACAGCTATCAAACCCTTGTAACTTAGGAGGAGTTGCAGTCCCCAGGGCCTCCGTTTCCTCATCTGTAAATCTGAGATAATGGCATCTACTTCTTAGGTTTTTGTGAGAATGTAATGATATGATTCTGATAAAGCATAGTATGGTATTATTATTAAAATATGACTAAGAGTATGGACTCTAACAGACTGCCCAGTTAAATCCCAGCCCTCCATTTGCTGGCTGTGTGACCGTGGGAAGTCATCAACCACTTCAGCCTCAGCTTTCCATCTATAAAATGGAATAGGAATTGTTCCTTCCCCACAGGTTTGCTGTGGAGGTTAAATAAGTGGATTAAGGTGCATGGCGGCGCTAGCATAGGGTGGTGCACCCTAAGTGTGGCCCATCTCCTCCACGAGAGGGGGCTGGCATGGAATCGGGGCTCTCCAGTCCCCGGTGCCCACACCCTGGCCCTGTTCATGGCTATAACTGACCTACAGCTCCCCCCACCAACACACACAAACATAGATGCGCCTCTACCCAGAGGACCCTGCAGCTCTTGCAGTCTGCCCTCTCCGCGCCTTTCCACCTGGCTGGGCTAGCGCTATAGCCTCTCGGTAGGTGGCCACGTCTGGCCCTGTGGGAAGCAGGAGGAACTGGATGACCCACAGGAGGCCTTTGGATGGGCTTCCCGAGGGCCCTTGCCGACCTCGCCCTCCTCCTCCCCTGCTCTCTGCACCCAGGGGTGTGTTCTCAGTCAGGCCTGGGTAAGGTCTCCCACTTTTATGGAGCAGGGTGGAGACCCGGATCTGCAGGGCTGCACCTTAACAGTTGGCTGGCAGGCAGATAGAGATTTGGCTTTGGAACTTGAGGCCAGACACTATCAAAGGGCCGAGAAGAGCAAAGTCGGGAGGCTGTGCTCTGGACCCGGGCCAGCTGGGAGGAGCCTGGGCGCCAGGGAGGGGTGGGTTTCTGGGGCTGCCTGAGCACGGAGCCCAACCCCATCCCCCGTGGCACAAACTGGCTCTGTCGGTTCTCCAGCTTCATGGAGGAGATTGGGGGTGACTGGGTGTGTCTGTGCCGGAGGGTTCTCTGTGCGATGGGAGTTGTGCTCTTGTATCTTTTTGTCCACTGGGCTGTTTATAGCAAGCAGCCTGGGCAGAGAGCTGCTGCCCCTAACGCATTCCAGTGGCTCTTCCCTGGAGGGGCTGGCAGGCGGGGAGCCATGACCCAGGGAGCAGCCGACACTGCACTTTGCACCCAGCTTCTCGCATTTATGGCAGAGGGGACAGAGGGCAGAACAGGGACCGACTGTGCTGGTGAAAGGGGGCTCCTTGGACAGCTCAGACTCTGCTGGGGTGACCACAGGTCCAGGTCTGGAACCAGCCAACTCCTTTGTAGATTAGCAGGGGAATCCCCATGACACCGCCCTAAAAAGCCAGGTTCCACCTGGCCCACAACTTTGGCCTTTGATCCACAGAGGTCTTGGGGAGGGGTGAGACCTCCTCCATGGGTCTTGGGGAGGGGTGAGAGGCGCCCCCAATCTCCTCATTCCACCCTGCAAGTTCTTGCCCCTCGCTGGGATTTGAGCCCAAACGTCAGTGGGATGGAGAAAGGACCTGACATGAAAGACAGACAACTGGCAGCCCCAACCCAGGGAAGGAAACAGTTCTACGGGGCATGATCAGTTCAGAAGTGGAAAGGGAAAATAATTGGAAGACTAGTCGATGAAGGGAGGGAGGAGGACCCAGAGAGCCTCAGGGACTCAGGCGAGTGAAGGAGCCACCTGGTGGCCAGGCTTAGACCTGCAAGGAGTCCCTCCCGGCCTGGCCAGGGTGCTGGGCAGCTCCTTCCCTGGGCCTGCAGGACAGATGAGTGGTTGAAAGTACCCTGACCTCTTAATGCTGAATGGTCAGGGACACCCAGGGGACACTGGAAGGAGGTGATCCAGGTTTGCAGCAGGAGAGTGTGACATCAGGCAGACCAGGGGCTCTGAATGAAGAGGCCCATCTTGATGACAGTCATAGGGCTGTTTCAGAGGTCAAGGCTTGGGGAGCCAGGGGTCCGGGTGGTGAGGGTGTGCTGTGTAATGCTACCCAGACTGGGCAGAAGGGGTCCAAGGGGAACTTCTTGGTCAGTTACCAATTCCTCAGCCCTCCATTCCGACCCCAAGCTTCTGCTTTCCCTCCGAGTGCCCAAGGCCAGGACACAGATGGGCAGGACACTGGGTTTTTAATGGGGAGGCTGTGACACCATGCACGCATACACACAGCAGCGAGGAGGAGGCGCACCAGGCTGGGGTGGGTGCCCTCACGTCCTCGTCTTCAGCTTGGCTGCTGGGGAGACCTAGGGTGCCTCCCACCTGGGGTGAGGTCTTCAATAAGGGTCACACTGGTGTTCTCCTCTCTTGCGTGTGTGTTTATCCCATTTCCAAAAGGAAGAAATTCAGGCTGGAGGGGAAAGGTGAGGCAGGCTGGGATGCAGAGAGATGGAACCTGATGGAAGAGCGTGAAGCGAGAGCCCACACACAGTGTGGCAAGCGGCCTGCGGGACAAAGCGGCACGGAGTGTTCCCAGGACCTGTGTGCAGATACGAGTCCCTCAGTTACCCACAGCACATAGTCCCTGGATTCCCACCCCTCCCTCACCGTCATCCCTAGGGACTCCTAAGAGCCTAACCTTCTCAGCCCAAGGCTCTAAGCTCCTCTAGGCATCCCCCTCGATGTCCCGCCATACCATAGGTCCTCCAGAACTGGCTCTTACACCATCTGCCCTCTGACACCCACCTCCTTAATAACTACCCTTTGAACATCACTTCCTCCAGAAAGCCCTCCCTGACTGGCTCTCTGTCAGACCCTGGCCCAATTGCATATCCCCTCATGCTCTCTGCAGCTCTGAAGTGGCTAATTTTGCCAATTTTTCCATCAATTTCCTCAGGGAATGGATGGTCTTTGCAAGGATCACCTAATCTGGTGGCTCTCCAGTTCTTTCATGGAGTAGAGGGCCGGCTCTACCCAAGTTTCCTCTCCAGTGGGGCCGGGTGGGACTGGATCATTCACCTGCCAGGTGGTGCCTGTGCAGCTGGTGCCAGGACCACAGTGGAGAATCCTTAATCCATACACCCCCATTCTATAGATGAGGGGAGCAAATCATGCCCAAGTCTCAGGGTGCTGCAGCCAGAACGGCTAGTGGGAATGGCTCCCACCAGCGCTCCTCCCCTACGCCACGCCAGGCCCAACCCTCCGGCCCTGTCAGGGCTCCCAGTTATCCTTAGACGCTGAGGGGCCTGAGGAAAGGGGTGCTGGTCTCTATTACCTCTACTGTGAGGTCGGAGACTTAGCAGCATCAAACATCTTCTTCCGGCCTTCCATCCCGGACATGGCCTCCACGTTCTTCCTCCAGTCACCTACCTCCACGGGCCGCTCCTGCAGGCAGGCCACACACACGTCAGCGACTTCCCAGCCAGGAGAGTAGCCAGGACCCTCCGAGCATGAGAAACATGGTGGTGGGGAATCAGCCTCTTCAAAAGACAAGGAATTAAGACACCCTGGCCCCACTGAGGCCACAGGACATGGCCAGAGAGGGGACACCGGACAAGCAGTGGCTCCACAGAAGGAAGCAACTGCAGGGCTAGGAGTTGTGGTGACTGTGACGGAGTTACGGCCCCTTCCCACCCCAATGAACCACAGCCCAGCCTTGCCTCCTGGGCCCAGGGGGGGTCAGATGCTCAGCAGCTCAAGGCCACCACTTCCAGGAAGACAGCCTTTTCCTGACTTGGGGCTCATTTTCCATTTCATCGGCAGTCCTGGCCACCTCTTCTCTTTATGAGGCTCCTTGGGTCAGAGATCACACCTTTCACCCATGTTTCCCACAGAGCCTGTCAGTTCTGGGCATAAATGCTGTGAGTTCAGTCAGTTTGAATGACTGTTGCCAAGGGGGTGACTCAACTCCATTCTCTAAATTTCTGTGCTTCTGTGCCCTAGGACCACCCTGGCCTGCCATCTTTTCCCCATTGTGACCTAGGACAGTTGTACCCCAATCACCTAGTGTCACAGTCTCCTCGCACTGGGAGCAGGGTCTTCACTTTATCCTGTGGTCTACTTTCTTTGTCCCAGTTCCTTCCTTAGGCTGAGAGGGCCTGAGGGAAGGGATCAAGCTAATCTTCATGTTCCCAAATAGAATAATAAGACTTCCTCACTGGTCTCCCAAGAGGTTCTAGAATGTTCTAACACCCCGACTGGCTGCCAGGAGACATTTCGGGTCTACCTGAGGGTATGTGAGGGAGCTGCAGGTGGAGGTTAGACGGGGTGAGAGGTTCTGAGGAGAGGGGCCCTCACCTTCTCAGTGTCTTCCTTCTTCACAGACTTCAGGTTGGCCCGAAGATCCATGGACACCTTGTGCTTGGAGCCCAGCAGGGCCCGGAGCATGGCGTCCGCTGAGACCCGGACCCTGCGCAGGGGCGGGCGCTTGAACTTCCCACGGAGATCCAGCACCTTCAGTTTCAGGTCCTTGATCTGCAGGCGAAGGCGGGCAAGGACTCACTGGAGGGGGTGCTGTCACAGAGCACCCTTCCTAAGGATCTCAGACTTCCAGGGGCTTCCAGATTCTAGAGTTCCAGCAGACCTACGCCCCAAACCCTCCAGCCTTCAGGTTGGCGTGCCCCCCTACCCAGGACACTCATATCCAGCACCCCTTTGCAAACAGCCATCACTCATTTGTGGATAACGAAAGAGCGAATCCATTTTTGCTCACAAAGCCCACCAGCAGTCCTATCACAGCAGCCCCACTAAGCTCAGCACAAGAGTGGTTTGGGAGCCCTGTTTGGAGTTTGGGTTGTTTGTTCTATTTCCTGATGCTAACTCAACTCCCACCCCCACTGAGCCTTCAAAGCAATTCATTGAGGGCACAGCCTTGGTCCAGCAGGGCAGCTAACGTCCCAGATCCCAGACCCTGGGGGGATTTCCAGGATGTGCTCTCTGGGGGTAATTTGGGGAAATAAGTGACTCTGCATATCATCCTGGTGGGGAGAGGTGAGCTAGAGAGGGAGTGGTTTCTGGTGTCCCTTCTCACCCCTCATCTCACCCCTGCTTAAACAAGGCCCAGAAGCATCTCACAACAGCTTCAGGAAGCCCTGCCTTTCCCCCTACTCTGCCACCTCCTCCTGAGCAGGGTCTGGATGGAGCTAATACCCCAGAGAACATCGAGCACTAGCGTGAGGGTCAGAGACCAGTGCTGTGTGACCTGGGCTGAGTTACTCAGCCTCTCTGAACTTCAGAGCCCTCAGCTGTAAGGGGCAGCTAATAGCAGCACCTCCTTCATCCACAGGCATGTAGGGAGGATCAAAGGACAGAGGACACAAGAAAGCCCTTCACAAAGGTAGGATGTTATTAGCAGACATGTGATTATTTATGTGGGTGAATAAAGAAGGCAGCTTCTGTTAGAGAAAGAGCCCAGGTGGCAATATGGGAGAAAGTCTGTGCTTTTCATCTGTGTGACTATCCCCTCTCCACTGAGGGGCTGGAGGATGGGACTTGAGCTTCCTGCTAAGTGGTCACCATCCCCACCCTGCACCACCCAGGCCATCCCCATTGCCCCAGACTTCACCGCCCCCCACACACACCTGCTCTGACCTTGCCCTGCCCCGGCTTTGGGCTCACCTCCCTGGTGTTGTGCAGGCATTTGGCTTCGATGTCATATCTCTCCTCATCCACAACCTCCACCTTGGCATGCAGATCCCGGCACAGCTCCTGGGGAAGCGGGATCAACCAGGAGGGAATGGAAATGGGTGAAGAAGAGCCGCTCAGTCTCCAGCCTCCCTCGTCTGCCTCCAAGTCCATCCTGTGCCCTTGGTCCTCCCCCAGCCTCTTTGCAAGACCTTTGCTCTAGAGAGACACTCACAAGCCCCTTCGCTCTGAGGCTTACAGGCCCCATTTTCCTTTCTGAATGCCGTAGTTCCCTAGAAAAGTTTTCTGTTTTTTTTTTTTTAAAGATTTATTTATTTATGCATATAAGAGCTGGGGTACAGGCCAGAGATGCAGGGGGTGAGAGGATTCACCCGAGACAGAGTGGGAAACAAAACAGGCAGACCAACTGAAATACACTGCTGAGGGGAGGAGCGGGGAGACAAGAGAGGACTGCTGTGCCATGTGGGTTGCTCCCTGGCTGGGGATTCAACTCGTGCTGCAGAGGGTGCGGATTGCTTCATAGTGTGGTGCTTAACCCCTTGCGCCACCAGGGAGGTCCCAGAAAAGTTTTCTTATATAAAAATATGTTAAGAAATATTGAAGCTAGGGCCTCCCCTGGTGGTGCAGCAGTTGAGCGCTGGGCTGTGAAACTGCCCGCAGCCTCTGCAGCACCGGTTCGATCCCCAGCCACCGGTGAGGGTCCAACATGGCGCGAAGACCTCTCCTGTTGTGCCCACTGCTCCCCTCAGCAGTGTATTTCGTCAGTCTGCCTGTTCTGCTCCCCGCTCTGGCTCTGGTGAATCCTTCACCCTCCCGCGCTTCTGACTGTACCCAGTACTTGCATAAATAAATAAATAAATAAATAAATAAATAAATAAATAAATAAATCTTAAAAAAAAAAAAGAAATATTGAAGCTATATTGAAACAAAAAGAATGAAATAAAAATAAGTAGTGACAGTACTACCTGGCGAGAACCATTTTGTAGATTTCCTTCTTGTCTCTTCTCTACAGTCACTGGCATTTAAACAATTACCAATGTTTCAAGAACATTACAGGCCCCCACCTGTACACTGCACAGGCTCTCTGTAAATATCCCAGAGCACAATGACTATTTCTAAGCAGTTTAAAAATGTTTCTTAAAAAATTACATCACAAACTTAAATCTGAAACATCAAACTATAAAATTTCTAGGGAAAATAGCACAAATCAAAAAAACCCTGATAAACTGGACTACATGAAGTTTTAGACATTTGTTCTCCAAAAGATATTGTTATGTAAATAAAATCGCATACCTGATAAAGGATTTATATGTAGAACATATATAAAAAATTCTCAAAGTAAGGGACAAAAGATTTGAGATATACAGGTAGGGAAAAATATGTACAAGAAAAGATGCTAAACTTGATTAGAAAAGCCAAGTGAGACTGCCATGAAACACCATCTTGCCTGAATGGCTAAATTATAAAACTACCATATCAAATGTTGGTGGAGATGCCTATCAAATGGAACTCTCCAATAGTCCTGGTGAAAATGTTTTAGAAAACAATTTGACAGTTTCTTAAGAAGTTAAATACATACTAGCCACATGACTCCCTCTTAGGAAGCATGTGTCCATCAAAGACACCAACGCAGCTAGCAGCTTTGTTTGTAACAGCCCCAAACTGAGAATCATGTAAATGCCTATGCACTGGAGGAACACTTTGCAGCCTATGTCCATACAATGCAAAACTATACTTGATAAAAAAGGAATGAATTATTAAAAAAGAAAATAAAGCAATTATATGCACATTACTGGAACTTTTTCAATGGTTGGCACAATGGCATTAGGATAAAAAGGGGTTATGAAGATGAAATTGCCAAATATTTGTAAACTAACTTTGTATGTATGGAATCTTTGACCTCCATGGAGATTTGCAAAGACTGAATGTTCAAGCTCCTGAATATTTTTTTTCAAGTGCTAAAAAATTAAACCAAGCTGTTTAAAAAGAAAAAAAAAAAGTGATGTCCCCATCTCTAGAGGCAGGCTGGGAGAGACTTGGAGAAATGGAGTATCCCAAGTCCTACCCACCTCCCACTTGAAGTTACAGAGCTTAGAACCATGGTCATGTCAGGTTCCTCCTATTGGTCCTGGGTCACCCAGTGGAGCTCCCTAACCCTCTAGCTCCCTTGTCCCCAGGTCTCCCACCCACAAGGCCCACCTGCAAGGCACGGAGAGACAGGCCACGGGTCTGCAGCGTGGGGATGCGCTCAGCCAGGTAGCGGGCCTTCTCAGCCTCCCGCTCCTCGTGTTCCTGCTCCCAGAACTCCTTGGCCTTGGCCAGCATCAGGCTCTGGACCGGACAGAACCCAGTGAGCATGGGACAGGGACCCTGGACGGGACCCTCAAGTTCCCCACCCACATCAGGGCCTGAGGGGACAGTGAACCCAGGCAGGGTGAGCTCTGGCCTCAGCTGGCCCTGAGGGACTGTGAGTGCTCCTATATGTCAGGACCCAGATGGCGCAGCCCTGGGAGGGTGTGAACAAGATGGCCACCATGTGGACGGGCGCCATGGACAGCAGCCAAGCCATATGGGAGCTGCACTGCAGGAACACACCCCTCTGGTGCCCTGACAGTGCTTCTCCATGGTCCTCCTCTCTGATCCACCTCTCCTCATTTAGGCCCACAGAGGCCAGAAAGAACTTTTTAGCAAAGTTAAACGAGTGCCTCTGCACCAAGTCGATGCCCACCCCGAGCTGCTCACAGCCTCCTTGGGAACCCCAGAGTGCCACAGTCCAGGCACTGGCCACTTGGCAGTGACCAGGCTCCCTCCGCCTCCCTGTCACCCTTGGTTGCCTTGTCAGGCCCTCCACACCCTCTGCACCCCGCCCCAGCACCCAGCAGTCACCTTTAGCATGAGTTTGCGGGATGCGGTGATCTTGGACTTTCTCTGAGGGGAGAAGCAGGAGAGGTGGGTGAGGCAGAGGCTGCAGAACTGAACATCTGGTTTCAGCCAGGATGTGTGTCTTCAGGCTGATAGTCATCACCCACAGGCCTCGCCTTAAGGTCCCTCCTTATGGTTTACACCCTCCGGTTCTGAGAATGGCTGCAATCAGCTCCCCTGACCTGGGGTGGAGCCCTAACTTCCAGTTTGGGCTGTGCTACTGATGGGCTCTCGCAAGGTGTGGGGGTCAGGTCCTTCCTGAGTCCTTCCATCCTCATCTGTGAACAGGGATGCTGAGACCCACCTGACTTGGGGCAGAGTTACCACAGACAAACGAGATCATGGGTGTGCAAACCTTCTGAAAACGGGGGGCAAGATGACCGTTTAGTATTCTGGGTGATGAATGAGACCCTGCGACCTGTCACATCAGAGAACAAGCTCTGAATTTCCTGAATAAAGCAGCACATCTTTTCAGACATGAAAACTTGTTTCAGCATTAACGGTGCCCCTCTAAATCTTACTGATGTGAAGTCACTCTTCTGATTCAAAGCACCAACCATGTTTTGCCGACTGGACATGTTCTGAGTCTCCAGTCCTGGAGGCGGTCCCCCCCGGAGGTGGAGGTTGTTTGGCCCTAACTAGTGAGACCCTGATGCCTTCTGAGCACACGTGTGTTTTCTCGCCATAGCTCTAGAGTGTTCTTCTAGTGTGGGGAGCAGAGGTGGTTTGAGGGAGCACTTTTCTCAGGAGAAAATGAACGAGTTTAGTAGGTAGGACGGTGTGTCTAATCTGATCCTTCTGAGTGGTCTCTATCCCTCATCACAGTCCCAGTTTGGGTTCATTTCAGATCAGTGTGAATGGGGAGAAATGGCGACTCGCTAAGGTCATTCCCGCCCTTGGCGCTCTCACTACGATGGCCCCGGGCAAGTGTCTCCTGTACTCTTGTTTTCCCACCACTGACCCCAATCCCTGGGACTCACTTTAATATGAGCCTCCACAAAACCTAGACACTCATACAGCTATTGGGAAAGGTACAGTTGATTCTCACTGAGTATATGTGCTAGATGCTCCACCGGGGATGCTGCTCATCCCCAGCCTTGCCCACCGGAGCACGGCCCCCACCCATGTTCTACACCAGCTGTGTTCTCAGCAGCGCAGATAAATCCGGATTGAACTGGGTCAGGGTTATCCAAGACTTGAGGGGGGTCTAAGGACACCTCCTTCAGTGTTGGGCCAAAGAGCAGGGGCGGAAGAACCCATCGGTTCCCCCTCCCCCTCCAAGTGTGGCTTTGCCAGGTACTAGTCCTATGAGGGCTGGACGGACAGGGCTGCTCTCAGAGTGGGGTACAGATGCACACTGAGCCCTACCGCAGCCCCAGCCCAGGACTGCCTTCCAGTGACACTGCACTGGGGCACCCACTCCCTGGATCCTGGGGAACCCCACATCCAGAATCCTCACCCAAACTTCACATTCTCTTAGACATTTGCTCTGTCACTGGGCACTCCACTCCCAGCCTTGACCCAAGTCCTCTCCTCTCCTCAGATGCTCAGCCCACCTTCACCCTTCTGAAGACTTAACCAGAACAAGAGGTCCCCCAAATATCACTTACCTCACTTCAGGCATCCACCACAGGAAACGGGCGGGGGGAGAACAGAACACAGAGTAAATATGAGCAGCAGTAGAATCGTGTGGGCAAGCTTGGGGGGCAGGCAGGGGTGCACCAGAAGGAAACCAGGCATCAGGGAGGGGGACCAGGTCAAGGGTTCCAGCAGAACAAATAAAAACCCAATGACCCTTCAGGCTGCTAGAGGCTCTTTTGGGAGAAACTAGCCAGGATAATGGGGAGGTGGAAGGTCTGGGAAGTCTGGACACAGGATTCCAGCAAGGAAGCTGCCATCCCTGGGCTTAGGGGGAAAATGGGAGCTCATCAGTTGGAGCCACATAAGCTCACGGCCCGGAATGTGTGATTCACTTAATCAGGAGAGACAGACTGAAATTCAGGCCAAAGGTGTCCTTGGCAGCCAGGAATCATGAGCTCTGCTCAAATGCTAGGAGACTCATGGCCACAGCGCAGACACAGGTGCTCCAGCTGTTCCTGTCTTAGGAACTGCTCCAGGTAGTCCCTCAACTATGGGGCTGAAATCCCCAGCAAAGGACCTGGCCTTCCTGCAGCCACAGTGGGGGTGGGACGACTTACACTTCTGGCATGATGGCGGCAGCACCTGAGGGCACAAAAGAATCTTTAGTGAGGGAAAGTCCTCACTGCTGCCCCTCCACGCAGCTTAGCCGCCCTGCGGGGTGGAGTCAGACAGCAAGAAGAAGGCAGACTCAGTGGGTTCTAGCACATATAGACGGGATAGATTCTTGTGCATTTATTTTTTTCATCTCCTCCCCCACCCGCCCCCATTACTCACTTATTCATTCACTCACAAGACAAAGGAGTCTTATAAAGACACAGAACAATGTAAGAACCAAACTTGGTTCTACTGGACAGGTGTGTCGGGCAGAGTCTTGCAGACTGCAGACCACAGGTCAACTCTGGTCCCAGCCTGTTTTTGCTTAAAGGGTGTGAGACAAGACACAACATGACCTTGTGTGACCTGCAAATCCCCTGCATTTACTCACTGGCCCTTTCCAGAGAAAGCCTGCCAGCCCCTGAGGGCAACAGAATGAAATCCACAGAAAACATGGTTGGAAAGTAAGCATGAACCTCACCCACCAGGCCTTGAGAAACAGGCCAAGTTTAAACTCTGTCCCGTGGATAATGAGTGGCCACTGGAGGCCACAGAGAGAAGGATCTGGAAGATGAATGGTACAGAATGAAGATGGGATACAGGTGGCTGCTGCATGGCACAACTCCAGGGCATGGCATTCACACACGATGGGGGTAACTGCCCAGGGGCTCTCTGCACAGCTTGCAAGGTGCTGACCCTGCTGGAGGAGGTTTGGGGATACAGGACAAGCTGTGTTCTTCTCTAACATTGAAAGGACTTTCCTGGGACCTCTCTCCAAAACTGGAGATTAGATCAATTGTTTCCACTTAATATTTAGCAGTTGAACCCTTTGTTCAAACCAAATTTTCCTTGGAAGGGAGCAAATTCAATCAACAGGAACAGGCTGCACTGGCTGGCCAGGAGCCCTGTGGCCCGCTGGATCCCTGGCCATGGAGCCAGCCTGAAGGTCCCTGACCCAGTGACCCTGGGTCTCCGTTTAGCCCCAACAGTTGGGGCCCCTGAGGCTGCAGAGGGACAGAGGGGCGTGTTCTCAAGTCTGATGTGACATCTCGCCTGGACAAAGAGCATTCCAGTGGGAGGGGGAAGGGGATTGTGGAAAAGACCAGCAGGAGGGGGACAACTGGGGTATGACAGGTGTGCAAGGCAGGACAGGACCCTGAGCTGCTGTGAAGGGAAAGATGGGGGAAAGTGTGTATTGGGGAAAGGGTCATGGTGCAAGGGTCAGAAAGTGGGATTTGGTCCAAGAACCTGGTTAAGTATGGGGGAGGCCAAATTGAAAGGTCACTGGTGAAGTGACCTCCCAAAATTTCATTCCAAGTCACCCTCTTCTGCCTTAATTCTCTCTTTTTCCTTTGTGCCCCTGAAGCATCCTCTCAACCCCACGAGTTGGGCCTGGCCACCTCTCCTGAACCCTCCCCTTCCCCCCTACCCCCAGGGGAGAGTGAGGAGGGGGCAGAGGAGGGGGACAGGGAGTGTGACCCCAGAGTCTCAGCTGTCACCCTGGAGCGCAGAGGGAGAGTAGGAGCCAATCCATAAATTCCTGAGATACTTGGCTGAAATTAGATTTTTATCACCAGCTGTTTATTCTGAGGGCTTTGCGCCTCCAACGACACTGAGGAAGTCCAAACAGAAACAGGAGCTGGTGAGAAGCGCCCCGGGGCTCATCTGTCCACCATGTCGCCCTCTCATGTGTCTAGCCCGCAGAGGGCACTGGACCTCGGTGAACAGGGCTGTGCCTCACCCTGGGTGGGCACGTGACCCTGTCCCCCGCACCTTCGGAGAACCCACTCTCCCAGAGCAGGGCCCACCTGCAGACACCCAGTCAGGCCTCCTGCCAAGCTCCAGGCCCTGTCCCCAGCCTGCCCCTCTGTCAAACTCGAAGTCAAGGGGTCCCCAGCCTGTGTTTTGACACCTGCCAGACAGGACCCTTTGACATGTCCCTGGAAGGCAAGCAGGGACCTGATAAGAAGTCAGAATGTAGATAGTGAGTGGGAGGGGGAGCAGCATTCCATCCCCCACAAGTAGCAAGCTAGGAGATAATTCAAAAATTCACAGTCAGAGGGAGGGAGCAAAGGACCTGGGGCTTGACCTCAGCTTTCCCATCCCCGAGGCCCCAGGAGGTGGAATGAAATATCACTAGACTTCAAGGGTGAGGCTACGTGTATGTTTGAGTGTGTCTGAGTGGAAGTGTGCAAGGGATCGTGTGTGTGATCTCTTCCCACACCTAATAATCAGGGCCACAACCCTAGTTAAGTTTATGTTCTTCCCCCTACTCCTCCTCCCTGACCTTGGACCCCAGTCCAAGGGCATCTCAGTCCCCCTTGACAGCCCATTAACATGGGGTGTGATCCCAACTCTGTCTGCCACACACTCCACCCCCATCTTCAACTCCAATAGGAAAGCCCGATCTGAGAGCTGTGGGGGGACTGCCTCCCCAGTTAAAGACGCCCACCCCAGCCCCAGTGGCGGAGCCCACCACGGGAGTTGCCCTCAATTATGTGTCTACAGACTCCCCTGTCTGCAGCCCAAATGCTATCATCATTTGCCTTCCCCAAAGCGCCCTCCCCACCCCAGAGTGGGAGAGAAGGCCTGGCAGTTGGCTTTCACTGGATGGATGGGCAAAGGAGCGCAGCGTGTCCCTCAAAGACAGAGAACAAAGGGGCAAGATGGTTTCCTGGGTGGGCAGGCACCGTGGTCTCTGGGCTCCCCGGAGGGCCGTGCGCAGGGAGCCTCTTCCTCGCCCACTGCAGCATCCCTGTTGCTCACCAGGCACTAGCTAAGCTTCCAGATGCAGCCCCTCTGGACCAGCCCCCAGACCCCCAGTGCC